TGTCGCCAGATCATTTCATAGTAGTACATCCTTGAATATTCAGCAAAAATAAAAATTTAGAGATTTAAGTTTCTAAAAAAATTCTGCATCATGTGGAGCTGTTCATTTTCTATCGACTTTCTGAAAGGACAAGAGAAAATGAATACTACTTAAAAAATTACAGTGAAAACACTAAGAAGTATTAAATGATTGAGATTTCTTTTTTTTTTTAGTTTGGAATTCTTTTTTAGTTTTGTTGTTGTTTGTTTGTTTGTTTGTTTTTAATTTTTAATGTGGTGCTCTCTTTTTTTTTTAAGTCTAATTTGGGGGTCTGGGGCCTTTTAAACCTGCAGCACATTGGGGTTTACAAGCCTGTCTTCCTGAATACCAGCCTAATACACACAGGTGTTGCCTGATCATGCAAGTCAGACGTGCTTCTGTCTCGGGCCCAAGGAGCTGACGTCCAGGGAAGGTGGGCAGCTGGCCAGTCACAAGCCAGTGAGCAGTAGAGCTGGGTGCAGGGCACTGAGACCACACTTCCTTTCACCAGTCCCGACTGCTCCTCACCAGAATTCTGTAGATAACTGACACTCTTTTTCTGATGCTTGTGCATATTGTAGGTTAATTTTGAACGTGTAGTAAATTTAAAATTCTATATCCACTTTTTATATGAGCTTCTTAAAAAGTAGGTGATTATTTACATAACTAGTGTTCTATCGAAGGCATCTGTTGACTTGTCTTCAGAGTGAGAAGAGTATTCTTTTCCCCTCCCTCCCTCCCTTCCTTCCATTCTGTTCCTCCCTTCCTTCCTCTGTATCTCCTGTCCCCACTGCCGTTCTCCTTGTCCCCATAGGCAGTCATTCTCTTCAGTAATTTTGTTTGTATGCTCTCTACATCATACGTATTTTCTGCTTTGTATCCAAGAATTTTAGTGAGTATAAATGACACAGTGTTACCAGTCTTATTCCGTTTCTTATTTTTATCACTAAGCCTATGTTTTTAGACCTAGTCATGTCATTTTGGAAGCACATCCCTAATAGTTTGCTTTTAATCATGGTAACAATCCATGGTAGCCAGTGCTCCATTGTACCTATCCATTCTCCAGTTGGATGCCCCAGTGGCCTCCAGCTCTCACCATCACTAAAAACTGCTTCAATACATACTCATGAACATCACCCTAAATGATGATGAATGAGAGCTTAAGGAGAGAATTTCTTGAGGATATAATTCCCTGCAGAAGAATTCTGGGGTCACGGTATATAGTGTAACTATTTTATTGTCCTGAATTATTTGCCAGAATTGCTATACCAGTCTGCAGTCCCACTGGTGATCCGAGAGGTTTTTAAATCCCAGTGACATTGGAGATTTTGTGTTTTTCTAATTTTTGCCAGTATTCTTTTTGTAAGAGATTGGGTCTTTTCATTGAAATGAATAGCTTCCTGATTTCAATGGCAAAATGAATAGCTCTATTGAAAGACATATAATTGTTCAGTATATTTTATTTATCTGAATTGTAAATATTATCCATAAGATGGGCTTCCAGTTGCTCTGATGGTAAGAAAACAGTTTGAAGGCCATTAATGAGATGTGAGTAGGTCTCCCCTGACCCAACACCTCACTCAGTCCTATCCCTGTTTTCCACATTATGCTCCTTCTGGTGTATCAAAGCCTGATATAAAACTGACACCCTGCTCGGTGCCAATGAAGTTATTGAACTCTATTCTAATTATAGTAATTCTCACAGATCATAGGAGTTTGTTTTCAACTCTTCTGTGCACCTAACTAGCACATGAACTTGGTCATGTAGGACATCTTTGTACGTCTACCATCCAATGCCACGCTGCTAATCCAGCTGAATTGTTATTGGTTAATTGTTTCATGAATGTTAAAAGATAGTCATTTGTATCTTTAATATTTTCATTTTATCTCACTGCAGCAATATCTTCTGGTTCTGAAAAATTTTTAGATTAAAACTATCCTCCCCGTGTTCTAAGATGTAAAACGTTGGCATTTTAGCACAGCTTTGATTTAAGGGCTGGATCAGTTTCAAAACTGCTTCCTGAAAAAAACCCTGGCTTTGCCTGAAAATGCTTGTGATCTCACCACAATACTAAGGTGGGGTAACCTTCCAGTCTTGTAAGAATACTGGTCAGGATCCTTCATTTTCTCAGTGAATTGGTATCTCTCACCACCTGCTCGGCAAGCTTTCAAGTGTGTCCACACTCTTTTAGCGGTGTAGATAAAATACAACTCCAGCTTCTGGCTCTAAGAAAACACTAACCTGGAACAGATAGACTATGCTGATCGAAAAGCCGTATTGAGGAAAGTTGTATGTAAAGAAGATAATTTGAGGAAAACATTTTTTCAGGTCTGTGAAGTCATTTGTGATTCTAGTCGTCCTATGAAAAAGCTGTGCCTGTTACCTTGTCTGTAATTGAAGGAAGTAAACTAAATAATGTCCAAGTCCCTGAAGTTCTGTGGGAACAATACTATACCAGTTAGTCTCTGTGGGAAGAACCAGCTATGTACCAAGTGAACCTGGGGGACGCAGGACTTCCCTTGCTTCCTCAGGAATTGTCTCCATGACTTGAAGACTCTCATGTCTATAAAGTAACTAGGGCTTTCGCTTCATTCTCATGCCCAGGTCAGCTGGTTCCCAGTTGCACACATTTATTCTTTTCCATTAGCCTCAGGATATGATTTTGCTTCCTCTCCTCCTCTAAAGCTTCCCCCGCATCCATACTTTTTTTTATGGTTCCCATATCCTTTGGTAATGGTGGCAGAGAGGGCTGTGTAACTTCTACACCAGTACCTGACAACAAATCTTGGTCAGTTTAAAAGTTGTATTGCTGATCCCAATGGGAACCGGAATTAAGGAAATCACTCAGTTTCTTCATAACTGAAGCATAATGAGAGCCACAGAATGCCCATGAAGAATGGGTTAATGTCCAAAAAGTCCCTGGCAGAGGGCTTGGCACACAGTAGGGGCTGAAAATCAGTACGCTGTTAGAGGGAGTGGAGCCACTCAACTGCGATATGAAACTTTAGGAGTTTAATCCTATAGTAAGAATATTCCCAAATGTCTTCACTTTTGTCAAAGCCCACGTGAGCAGCTAGTCTGCTGCTGCCGTCATTACATCCAAGAAGAAATATTTTTCTTACTTTAGTGTAGGTTTGCTTCCTGGGATGCAGTGGGAAAATACTGCAGAAGTGCATTCTGGGAAACAAGGAGGGCCTCTTTCGTGAGGCTCGTGGTGTGGCTTTGGTGTCATTCCCACAGTGCATGTCCAGTCTCAGTGCTGTGATAAGCAGATACAACCTGGAATGAATAGTATACATGACTTGAAGTGCTTGTTTTTCCACATGTATTTCTCTTCTCTGCAAACAGATAAGTGAATGAAGTATCATTTTATTGTAAATTACTATTTGCTACTAATAAGCTAGTTAAAATATTTTTTACTTCCTCGAACATTCTTTTTGTTTAAGCATATATTCCAAACTAGAAATTAATGTTAAAAGCGTATGAGTGTAAGCAAAATAAAAGCTTGCCTTTTTAATTAGAGCAAATAGGCAACTGCTACTCAGAGCTCCTAAAGCCATGCAATCTCACTGTAATGATAAAAGATCTTCTCCAGCAATCGTCATTCAGTGGCGTTTTAGACAACCTTAATTTTGTAAAGGGTCAGTGTAATGTTAAAGGTTTCAGTATGCCTCTGGGTGTTCATGCACGAATATCTGACTTTCTTTTGAGAAAAAACAAAATCTGACTTAGCTTGGAATTCCAAGTTGCAATGAGGAAAAAAATCTCCTTTAACCTTCTGCTCTTATTATGTTAAGGCTACGACTCATCTCCAAACAAACGTATGATTGAGGTGATGTTTTGGAATAACATCCTGTGTTTTGGTGGCGCATCATTCTTCAGTGACATTCTGAGGTTGCATTGTATTAGCACATGATACTTTCCCCAGTTAATTGATATCCCAGGTTTGTCCAGGGGAAAATCTACAGCTCCCCCAAACATGCTTGACAAGTTATTATATTTACTTTAGTCAAAGCCCGTGTGTGCAATATCCCTCTTGGAGGTGGTCTATTATTGGAGTCCCATATGCTTTTTGTTTGGGAAGAAAGCAGTCACTGTGTCATACTGTTACATGGAGTATTCTTTTTCAGGGATGTTGTTCCCTTGGGGACCATATCGGGCCAGAGTTCCTTAGTCTAATAAGACCTTTGTACCTCTTATTGTATAAGAGTTCTGGGAGGGAAGCAAGAGTTAAACAGAAAATGTAATTCAAGCAACCATATTAGGCCACATGTGGGAAAACATGGCTCTTAGTATTGGATTAAGAAAAGGTATTTGTTGTAAAAAGGACTGTGATGCCAAAACATTCAAGGTATTTTCAGGGTAAATGAAGCCTATTGTGGCACAGGGAACTCGTAACATTTTAGCATTTAGCTTAGCTTCTGAATATGAATGATCTAAACATGCACCACACGGAGTTGTCTATTCATAGATTTTATATTTAAAAAACCATGCTATTAATTACAGAAGTCCAATATGGTGATATCTAATCTAAGATTTTCTTGTGTGAGTGTTCCCATCAGTAAAGTGATGTTTAATCCATATAAAGATAATGATTCTAGCAGTATTAGATACATACTCATCACTCAGTAATACAAAAATACACCTGTAGGAATTAGTCACTTTAATTGTTATACTTTACCAATTGATGGTAGATACATGGACTATGGTTGATAAAGGTAGAATTTTTAAAAGAATTTTGCACACCAAACATTGAAACCCTTTCTTTCAGATTCTGTGATGGTGTCTAATGAGCACAATTTTATTGTAATTTTTACATGTAACTTTCAGATACAGAAATCATAAAATAAACAATTGAAATACTTCACTATTTTGACAAATTATGATAATACAAAATCTGTTTTCTGAAATGTGAACATTTTACAGTAAATTTTATGATACAATAGTGTTTTGAGACTGTCTTTTCATTTTTTTCTAACAGCAAATGGTGTCCCAGCAACGCATTCTGATTCATGAAGATTCCATGAACCTGCTAAGTCTTTATACCTCTCCCTCTTTGCCCAACATTACCTTGGGACTTCCGGCAGTGCCAACGCAGCTCAACGTGAGTCATTACACAGCGACCTGAGGGATAATGTCGGAGGGAAACTCTTCTTGCATTTTTCGTGTATTCAGACTTCAGGGAAACTTGGTAGAGTTCGCTTCTCCTAGAATTCACACACTTCACGCTGAGTTGTGCAGAGACGTTCAGTTTGATTTCAAATTAAAGAATTACACTGGTTCCACAGTATCTAATATATATAAAAATAATAACTAACATTTATATAATGTTTTATAGGTTTTAGAAAAGAAAGCACCTCCAAATCTATTACCTTAGTACCTCCGCACAGCCGTCCTATGAAACAGAGATTACAGGCCACATTCTTACTGAAGAAGTAGCTGAGACTTGGAATACTTAAAAGCCCGAGGTCACAGAGCCATTGAGTAGCAGTCCTAAGACTCAACCCAGGCCAGTATTGAGAAGCAGAGCTTCCAAAGCAAAGCAGCATATGTTTATAGAATTTATTTTGTGAATGACTTTATTTTCGGAATTTAAGTTATGGACTCTGCGGTACTCAGGAATACATATCTGGAAAACCTCTCTAAGAGCAACATTAAATTCTTCCCAGGAGATTCAGAGTGAATCAATTACTTTAAAAGTCCTGACATCTGAAATAGGATCTCTGGGAGGTAATTGTCCTACTAGCAGAAGATAGCAATAGTTATTTTACACATAGTCCCCAAAATAATATAAATTTTAGCCATTGTAAAAGATTTGTACTCTTTCCCTGGAAAAATTCATCTGTGAACTGTGAGTAAATTGACTTGTACTTATCGGAAGTCTTGTGATACATTGGGTTTAAAGAGAAATTTATTTCAACCCTTGGCACCAATTTTGTCAGACTTCAGCAGTCAAATTCACGTCTTTTACAATATGCCCACACCAGGAAATTTTTTAAAAGTTGACCATTTTGTGCCTCATTTGTTTTCAGAATTTAAGCCCTCTATATGGTGGGCTAATGTATGCACAAGCACACCTGTACTCACATTTTAAAATTATAAATTTTGTAATTGAGTTCAATCTATATTATGTAATCAGTCTAAAAGATATCTGGTTATATTTGGTATTTTTTATAGAGTGGAATGTTATCTTACATGATAAGTAATCTTACACCAGTGAGGAAAAAGCAGGATTTGGATGTTGTTTTATATCCGGAATTGAAGATGAAAGGCTTAAATAAACTGATTTCAGTTACCCCCTTGAAATGTCCCGTGAATCATTTGTAAACGGTTGGTTCTCGTGAAAAGAAAAAAAGGAATTAGGGATGAAGCTGAACATAAATACTCATGGATGATGTTTTCACATTTCCACTTACTAAAAATTAGTTTTTCTTCTATTTTTCTATTTCCTATTCTTCTGATGATAAGCAAATAGTGACACAAAAGCTTCTTATGACACATGAATAAACATTTTATTTCCACCCTTTTTTGCATGTTCTAAGTCATTCCTACCAGCTAACACAAACATACACCACTTTTAATGTGGCCAGAGAGAATTTTTTCCCAAAGGACCAAGTACTAATGCCAGACCATTTAATGTTTCAATGGTAATACAATTTGGTACTGTTGGATGAATAAACCAATGTGGTTTGGACTGAAGTTTCATTTTTCTTTGCTTCCATTTTGGTGTGGATGAGGCCATCACAATTAATTTTTCAAGCTTAGCATTGCTTTGGCAAAGGGATCTCTAATATTCCATTTCCCCACTGAATAGTGGGAAATTTTTTAGGAAAAGAAGCCAGGAGAAGGAATCACTTCTAGATTAAACATTGCGTTGACTTGCCATGTGACTAAGACAAACCATTTACCTCTTTGTCCTTCAATTTCTCCATCACTGAAAATTGCTTTGCTTCCCTGGTGCACAGCAATTTTGAAAGATGAAACATGAGTTTTGAAAAGAAACACGCCACATAATTTTGAGGTATTAGACTTCTGCTTTTGTGATACCAAAATTACCTCCATTCATTAAATTCTTTGAATAGGATAATTCATTATTACTATTGATGATATAATTATTATTACCTTATTACTGTGTTATCATACATTTCAAGTTCTTAATAGCATTTTTATTTGATCTAATTTCACTTGTAGTTTATGTTATTAAACAAAAGTATCTGAAGTGTCATTTTCAATATTTAGAGATTTGGGGATCTGTTGTGAATTAATACAAAATACACGTTTAAGTCAAAGTCCTGCATATTTTATATAACCTTTCATTGGGTAGGCTGAAGAATTTTATTTTAAAAATTAAATATTGGAACCCTATAGCTCTGTGAGCTTATTAGAAGAATTGCTCCTTTTGCTTGAAACTCCAGAGCTACAGACAGTTTTATCTCCAGCTTCTTCACTGCTACAATAGAGTCATTAGTTTAGCGATTTGAATCCATTTTACATTGCCAGTATACCTTTTTACTTCAACAGTATGCTAAAACATTTTTTAAATAAACTTCCCAGTTACTAAGCCTAAAATTAGCATCATTTTCAATGTGGAAAAGAAATCTTTATGTTCAGTACAATGGTATTCAATACTAACTTACCTCCAATAGTTCAACTCTATTTTTATTTCTCATCCGTTAATTTGGTTGGTTTGAAAAGGCACACTGTTGGGCAAAAGAGGTGGAGGCGATGAAGAGGTACAAACTTCCAGCTGTAAAATAAGTAAGTCACAGGGATGAAAAATACAGCATAGGGGAATATAGTCAGTGAGATTGTAATCAGTTCGTCTGGCGACAGATGGTGACAGCCCTCATCAGGGTGAGCACATCTGGTATATACAGATGTTGAATCACTGTGTTGTACACCTGAAACGCGGGTAATATTGTATGTCACCTACACTTCAATTAAAAAAAAACAAACCAGAAGAAAAAAATAAAAGACATGCCGTTATACATTTTCCCTACTCAGCTATCAGTCGGATGGGGTTTTCTTTTGGGTGGAGGGAGGGAGATTACGGAATAAGAAACTCCGCTAATGCTGTACAGACCTAATGGGTGAAAGAGGATTACCATCCTGTTACTTCTTGACACAGGCTTCGAATTCACTCAAAGAAAAACAGAAGTGTGAGACCCAGACGCTCCGACAAGGCGTCCCTCTGCCTGGACAGTACGCTGGCAGCATCCCAGCGACTTCAAGCCATGCCCACGTTGCTTTAGAGGGAAAGCCCAATAGCAGCCACCAAGCACTCCTGCAGCATCTCTTATTGAAAGAACAAATGCGACAGCAGAAGCTTCTCGTGGCTGGTAAATAATCATGACACCATTCGCGGATCATTTTAGGGCTTGATTTATCTGTGATCTGGTGTAAGGTCTTTTTAGCTCAAGACCCTCCTGAAGATTGAAAGTGTCACACAAGGGTGTCCCTGAGACTTGGTCTTGTGGGAAAGGCTACTTTTCCTGTTTATTCCTCTAGACATGTGGTGGGGGGAAATACCGCACCTTATTTAACCTTTATACATACTGAGGCGAATGACTGGTGAGTCAACCAGTCAGGTGCTTACCTGTCTCGTGTTCTGGCACTTCTCCCTCCATCCCCTACAGCCTAGCTTTCTTCTGATGTGTGCCCAGTAGAATCACTGGTTTTCATCACATTTATCTCCTATATCTATTTTCCATGGGTGTTTTTGTTTTGTTTTGTCTATTCCTAAGCAAAATTGTGCATATGTGTACATGTATATATATATATATTTTTTTTTCAGGTGGAGTTCCCTTACATCCTCAGTCTCCGTTGGCAGCAAAGGAGAGAATTTCCCCTGGCATTAGAGGTACCCACAAATTACCCCGTCACAGGCCCCTGAATCGAACCCAGTCTGCACCTCTGCCTCAGAGCACGTTGGCTCAGCTGGTCATTCAGCAGCAACACCAGCAGTTCTTGGAGAAGCAGAAGCAATACCAGCAGCAGATCCACATGAACAAAGTAAGCCCCCAAGTCAAAGTCAGGAGGTCACAACCACCAGTGGGGAAAGTGGGGTTCCCTTCTCTGGTCCAGGCACACAAAAGGAAAATGTCGGTATCTCTGCATCATCGTCGACAGGAGATTGCCATCCTAGCCCTGGGGACAGCCTCACAATATCAGTATTTTCACCCTCATTACATTCACAGCATGTTTGTAGCAACACTGAGATAACTGATTGGTGAGGGCTTCTATGATTGAGGACCTATTTGAATTCAGAAGCACATCCAGGCACATGAGTGCAGAGCCCCATTTTTTTGGTTTCATAGAATAGGCTTGGGGCAGAGTTGAAGGTGGTGGATTGACAACTCAAAAAGTTCCCACAAGTGCAGGCAGATACAACAAGGTGAGCCCACAAACTATTTCTCAGCAACTTGTATGTATCCGTGTTCTATTTATTTTTTAGCATGCCCCATTTTATTCCAAACTGCGTTTGAAGCAACTTCTCAGAAATGTGTGGTAATTTTCTGGCAGCCTTATTGCGGCCAAGTGGGAAGCTGATGTCTGTATCGCACCACATCCTTAGGCGCTCTTCTGCTGAGGCAACCACAAAGAAACAGTGATTACAATATAACAATGTCAGGCAGGCCAGGCCCATAAAACATCTTCCTTGAATTCATAAGCAAACTCGTCTACTCAGTTTTGACACTACCCTCCTCTATGACAGGTTTACAAAGCCAAGTCTTCTCATTCCTGGGCATGTTATTGTCATTATCATCGTCCCAGGTAGCATGATTCTATGAATAGCATGGTTCATATCCTATTCTTTGTTACTGTATCATCTACAAAATCTGTAAAGGTATGATTATTAAGAAATGCCGTTCTGTTTACTAAAGGTAGCTAAAAATTGGCTTACTGTTGAAGAGCTTTATTGCATCGTGACAGAAACAAAGCAATGCCTTGTGGGTATCTAATCACCCTTCTAATAGCAGTAGGAGAAAGGGGTTCTTCATCAGACGCTCACTTTACTGCAGGCAGGGCAAGAGGTTTTTTCTTCTCACAGGGCAGAGCCAGGAAGGGAGCTCAGGTTGAAGACCATACAACTGAACAGCCCAGCCCTTTGCTGCCTTCAAAGATGATGTGGGGTTGGGGGGAAGGGAAATGGGCACTGGCGATGGATGGCCATGGCCACTGCCTTTCATGCTGTCTCTTACTACACTGCACATGGCAGTCCACGATACCACATGCTCTTTATATATCATCAGGTTGATGCTGTTATTGCTACAACATTTCTCTAAGTTTATCAAATTATTTTGTACCAAGGCAGTCTCCCTGGAGGAGACCAACTTCCTTCTTGTAAGGGTGGCCTGGTACTCATTGACTTGAATGTGACTCTGTGTATGTTTGCTCTATTGTGGTAGAGTTTGGCATGTTTGTTTTGTGGTCTCTCAGCACTACTTAAAAACTACGACGTATTTACTACATAAATTGTCCTGTGACTAATGCAAAAAATTTATGAAGGAAGAAATTTGGAAATCCTACCTTTTGCCTCATAATATTTTGTTTTGTTTTGTTTTGGGGGTTTTGTTTTTGTTTCTTGTTTGTATGTTTTGTTTTAGAGAGAGAGAGAGAGCGAGCGAGCAAGGGAGCATGAGCAGGGGAAGGGCAGAGGAAGAGGGAGAAAGAGAGAATATTAAGCAGGCTCCATGCCCAGTGCAGACCCCAGTGCGGGACTCAAGCTCATAGTCCTGAGATCATGACCTGTGCTGAAAGCGAGAGTCTGATGCTCAACTGAATGAGCCACCCACCCACCCCATTGCCTCATAATATTTTGATCTGGAATTAAGTTCATTAGATTCCTAAGAATACTTTAAAGAATATTTTGGAATACATTATTTCAGACTCTGTGGTATGCTGATAACAGAATCTTTATATTTTAGTATCACACTTGAGATTTTGACAGGCGGATGCTAACCTCAGTCACATGGAAGAAACCAAGATGAAAAGCAGGCATTTGCATTGAGCGATGAGAAAAGCAAATCTTATCAGAGACCTTCTCCCATGTGGAGCTGATTCCTTGGAATCTGTTAAGAATTCTTCCCAAAATTAGAAACAAACCTATACTTTCAGGTACATGTTTGTACAGTGGTTTGATTATTAAACCTTGTCTTAATTAGGCAAAATGAAGTCCAGAAAACTTCAAAGTACAAAGCTGATCTTTATATATTAACCCCTCTCAGCTTGGGTGTTTAGATTACTCAAGCAGGTCTCTTGTTGGCTGTTCTTCAAGTATGTATTCCATATGTTTGGTCCAATGGCATATGCACATTGGGTAGTCTCCAGATTTTGAAACTATTTCACCTGCCCTCAATTGTCTAAGGGAACAGAGAAGAATCTTATTAAAGAAAATATTGAATTTCTGTCCCTATTCTGAAGTATTCACAATAGAATTATCAAGAAATGAATTGTTTCTGCTCTCCCTTCCCTGTGAGATGATGAAAACATTTATTTCACATTATGTGAGGGCCATAACTTAGATGCCAAAACCAAAGAGCTTCTGTATGATCATATATTTATGTACACTCTAACCATTTTGAGTGACCATTAATGAGAAATAACCACAGAAACTTTAATTTATATCATTTTTTTCCTGGTATAACACACGAATCTGTATTGAGTCACGTCAAATTAGAGCCAAATAATTGGCATCATAAAAACATGGTCCCTGCTCTTGAGCAACTTACTACAGCAGGAAGTACATGCTCACATAAAGACGTAGGTGTGCAGATAATGTATTTGAAAATGTCCTTTCTGTTTGCTCCCTCAACTTTTTTTATGGTTCTTTTTTTAAGATTTGGAGAAGTAAAAAATACAATGACAATGAAGAAAAAACTAAGTAGATTTATCCCTAAACCTGTATCCTATGAAATATGATTGTCCTTCCTGCTATGAAATTTTTAATGATATAATGGAATTGCTAATAATCCTTAGAAGAATTTAAAGCAAAGCTGTACTTTTCAGAGCAGAATTTACACAGTAATTAACTTACTAAATTTTGAAAACTTTCTAATATCTTGCTATTGTTTGAGTGCATTTATGAAAGCAGTCATTCCTGCCTATTGTAACGCTACAACATAAATATTATTAATCATACTAAATAAATTACCTACCCCTTGCTTATTACTTTAATGACATTTACAGTGGAAATTTATGTGTCATAATATAATTATTTGTCTCATGCAGTTAGGATGTAAGTATTTAATAGTTTAGCAGAAATATGCCTGGAATGGACTTACATAGTATTTGCATTGTTATACAAGCTAGAAAGGTGAGTGGAAAACCCATCAGAATGATTTGTCTCTCTGGTCCATCGGTTTGAATACTCAGTTTTCAAGGAAAGTATTTTGAGAAGTTTAGCCATAAGAAAGTCATGGCTTGCACGTTTCTTTGTTGTTTTTTTTTTTTTGAGATATTTAAAATGAGAAATGCATTTAACAATTTCTGTTACTATCGTATGGTATATTCTTATAATGACGACTTGTGAGTTTTTTCAAAAAACCAAGAGTTTCTTTATACTAGCATCAAAAGAAGACTGTTGTTTTTCCCGGTTATCTTTCATTTTTTTATTGAAAGATTAAAAAGCTTTCTAAAGACGAATCTTTCCCATAGATACAAAATGGCAAACAAAAAAGTAAGAGCGTATTGGTAATTTTCTTCTGGGCTCATTCTAAGTTTAAATATTGCAACAGAATTTCTGGTAAAATAAGACTGTGATTAATGAAAGCAAAACACTCTGAAGTTACTTGACCATTTTTATGATTTTTGAAGTATTCCAAGCACTACCTAATTAATAGAAGGGCAAATCTCTAGTTGTATCACTATTGGAATGATATACAGAAATTTTCCTCAGTGTCTTCATGCATTTTTGTTGTGAGATAATTTGGCATAGACTTCTGCCACCTACACAATGAAAACCTTCTTTAAATCATTTCTATTGTAGTATTAACAGAATAGCATTGATGCACACTAAATTTCTACTTTAACTAGAATTTTTCTAGTACCCATATTTTTGGTACTCATTCTATCAAACCCACGTGAGCAGAAATTTCAAGAAACTTCTTCAGTCAGGACTTATTTGAATGAAATACTGATTTATTATACATTTATCCATTTAGCAACTCATTGAATTCTTGCTTTGTGCCAGATGCTATTTTAGGCACCAAGAGAATAATAACATTCATTGTCCTCCTGAAGCTTACAGTGTGGAGAGCAGAGGAATGAAATATTCAGTAAACAGAGTAAACAGTAATACAGTATGTTAAATACTTGGATAGGGGACATGAGGAAGAAAATTGTTTCTTTGAGGAAGTAAGATGAGACTTATTTAGTTACCTCTCTGAGTTATCTTGTCCTTTTTATATCCTCCTTTCTTCCTCCCTCCCTTCCTCCTCCTCTCTTTCTCTCTTTCTTCCTTCCTTCCTTCCTTCCTTCCTTCCTTCCTTCCTTTCTTTCTTTCTCTTTTTCTTTCTTTCTCTCTTTCTCTCTTGGTAATATGCTCTGTGATAAATATCTTATGCATTCCTTTGACTGGATATCAGCCAACACCTTTTTTAAAACCCACATAAATCATGAGATGATATCTTCTATATGTCAAGGTTCACTGTAGATATAAGTATTTATTATATATTTATTACTGTGATACTTAGGCATTTTGACATGAGTGCTATTTTATCATAATAAAAATATATCTAAGACGAGCTGAGTAAAGGAGAGGCCAAGCAGATGTCCTGTGTTGCCCTTATTAAAGCAGGTAGATATTATGTCTGACAAGGAAGGCATGAATCTAATTCTCCTCAAGTGCTGGAATGGAACAAATGGGGAGTTTTCATTCGTTTTTGGAAGAGAATTTGATCCTTTATTTGAGTTGTATCTCTTTTATTCTTTTTCTTGAGATAATTTTCTAACATCGGTGTTACATATTCTTCATGAACCCTCATGATTCATATCCACTCCTTGTCCCCGAT